ATTTAAGTAATTGACATGCACTAGATATTATTTTAAAATGCATGTAAAATGTTCCAAAAATGCTTATTATTTTTACTTTCTAATTAGGCAGCGACACTTGCAGGAATGGAAATGTCTTCAGAGGAGGCAAAAGTATGTGAAGCTAAAAGAAAGTTGTGGCAAGCAGTATGCAAAAGTTTACAAATGCTCCAGAGGATGTTTGGGTTACAATTCATCTTTATTGGTCAAGGTAATTACATTCTTGCATAAGATGTAGAATACTTCAATACAAACAAATGAACTGATAATTAAAAAAAAAATTAGAAAAATTAAATTCAAGAGACCAATGAAATAGCAATTTTTTGGAAGCAATGGAATCATAGAGCATACGACTTACTTGACTTGTTAATTCACTTTGTGAGAATTAATTGTTCACTTTTGTTCAAACACGTGGAAGACTTATTTTGCTGTGCATGCTTATTACCATGTATGCGATCTAAGAGATCTCTGGGTTTCACTAGCAAAGTGCCGTCCACCGTCTGCAGTTTCTTTTCTCAGTGGGAGTGGTCTAACAGAATTATTCTACCTTAATTTCCCCTTTAACTTGAAAAAATCAAAAGCCCATCAGGAAAAGTCTCAGTTATGCAAAGTGAGGAAAGCTGGGGGACTTGTTAGTTTATCAACTGCCCTGTAAATTCTCTAATGGTAGCAGAAGTTGTGACAGTTGACCAGAAATGTCAAAGACTCCCATGATTAGTTCTGTGTATGTTAGCAATCCTACTAGATGTTTTTGAAAAGCACTGAGAATTACTACAGAATATTTAATAATTTTTTAGATTCAGACAAGTTTTCTCTTTTCCTTATTTTCAAGTTTTTGGGGAGGGAATTTCTTCTCAATTGTCAGGAATCAGAATTTTTTTTTCCAGGAGCAAAAGGAATAGGACAACCAAATGGAACTGTTAGAATTACAGTAATTTAAATATCAAGATCTGAAGAGAGAAAATAGTGGCCTTTCTTGATTTTCATTTGATTTGTATAATGGAGAGCCAATTCTGCATTTTACCCTTGCATAAATATTTTCATTTGATTTGTATAATTCTGCATTTTACCCTTGCATAAATAAGAAGCTCTGAGGAAACTTGTAATCCCTTAAGAAAGAGCATGAGTATCCCCAAAATCTCTCATCACTGTTAACAAAATTGGCTCACCTGCCTTTGACCTCCAAGGCCCACAGGCCACTCCAGCTGATTTAACTTCAGTCAGATACAAAAGATCCTAATTGCTCAAAGGGCTGGAGGGGAACAAGAAAAATTCTGTTGGTTTTCGTGTTTTCTGTGTCTTTCTCATCCATTGGCTGATTTTTGGGGTTTATATAGATTGTATTTTAAACACAATCTATATAACTGTGTAACTGTTATAGAGATTGTATTTAATCTATATAACTATAGTATATATAATTATTATTATATATACTATAATACATTATAATATATTAATTGTTATATAATCTATATAACTATAGTAAGTGTGAAAATAATGAAAATGGTAAGACATGGTAAAAATAAAAATATAAAAAGGTTTCCCTGATGTTACTTAAGGAGTGGAGAAGTATTTAAATGTTAAACTAAAACCTAGTTTAAATAAAGTAAAATGTATGTTACAGATTCAAAAACATAATTTAAACTCTACAATGGACAAAATCAGTTTTAAAAACTTAGTGAGAAATGAAACTGAGGCACAGTGCTTTAAGTGTCTGGTAGCTTTACTAACATATTTCGTATACTGTGCCTGCCATGTATTTTTAATTCAACAGCTCTTTAAATTACAATGATCTAGGAAGAAGCTAAATAAAATTTGTCCTGCAATTCTTTTAACAAATTAAAGTAGAAGCAGACTATAGGAAAAGGTACTTGTGTTCTTCAAATGCTTTAATAACTTCAGTTATTTTACAAATCATTTACACCAGCAGTGTCATTGTATTTCCTTATTCTTTTCTAGTATCCCATTATGTTTACTGGTTAATGAACACCTCAACCTGCTGGCCTGAAAGTTTCCAAAAGGCAAGTTTCTCAAAGCCATTGTAAACTGCTGCATTCAGAATTACAAGGACAGGTGTTTACCTACAATACTTGTACATAAACTGGTGAAATACAAGCAGGTTCATTTGGATAGCTAAACGTGGGAATATATCTGAAAGCAGAAGGCACTAGGAATATTTCTAAATAATTCATATTATGAAAAATTTTATATTGTTTGTAATCATTAGATCTAAAGGACACTTCTTAAAGGTTGAAAAGGTATTTGATTATTTCTGAAGGGAAAAAAAGATCTGGTAAAAAAACCAAGAACTCATATAGAATTTGTCTAATTCTGTGGTGAGGATATAGCCTAAGCACGGGTATTTTGCAATTTCACAGTAAGGTATTTTATTGAGATAAAAACATGTATTGCTCAAAAAAATTTAATTAAAATCATGTGTTCTGACATAAGTTAGTTCAAATATGTTTTTCTACTCGTTAGGTAAGCCTATCGGTGGACAGCTACTGGCAGATACCACTGCTGGAAGCTTTTATTTTTCAGATTCAGAGATAACTAGTAGATGCATTTCAGAGACAATGGCTTATCTGCTGTTATCTGCCACTTCAAACTAGAACACTAGCTAGTAGTTTTAAATGTAAATAGGTCATCAGGGACTTTAGATACGATTGCACAGTCCCTTCAAGTATCCAAGCTGGCTGCTATAAAAGTAGCATCGCTTCCTCTCGGCAGCGAGCCTCCCTCCCACTACTGCGGCTGCTGCAAGGGACACACGCACGGTGTGACAGTGGGAGCAGGGAAAGAGCCAAACCTCCCCTTTGGTGACCCTGTCCTCGTCCAAGCAAAGCGACCACACGGTTGTAATTAAAGCCATCAGATGTGACAAAGCAACAGCAAAATCCAAGCTAATCTGCAGGTTGAAACCAGGTGTTTCTGGTGTTGAGTCAGTTACACTGGTTGGAAGAAAAGGCTCCAGGAATATTAGCCAATCTTGCTTTACAAGGATTATGTGGATTGTGACAGGCTTTCAAGTCAACATCCAATCATTTTAGTATTCTGATGTGAAATTTAGTTTCAGTACCAGTTTCCTCAAACAGATTCTCTTTTGAACAGGCCAGTGTGGATCAAAAAGGAACACACTAAGCAGGTGGTCATTCTATGGCTCTGAAATGCTTCATACAGGATGGCAATGGCATTTCTCTAGGAAACATGGCTATAGTTCATGGAAGTGCATTGGAAATTTCTGCATTTCCAGCTCAGTGCAGTCCCACCATTCACCAATTCACAAAAGATCTGCTGCTCCTAATTCAGCATTGTTTAGAACTTGTGCTGGCTCTCACAAAACCCGTGTGAGTGAATCAGAACTATCATTACACAGCAAAGTCACACTGACGACAGGAACAGAGCAAGAGTATTTCTAGCAGAAGAATAGTTTCATAAAATCATCACACCATCTCTAAACTGTCCTGTTCCTTCAGGATCCTACAAAATACTGCCAAAATAGAAGTACCATTAAAAAAAAAGACTTCGTTTAGGCCACAGCTTTGGCAGAAAATGCAAATGTGTATCATCTCCACAGTTGTGTTGCCTGTTTTGATCTTGTCAAAGCATAGTTTGTCACTGCAACATTGTAGTAAGTAGGTGTTATGCTCCTATTCATGCAAGGTGTGAAGAGATAATGCATCATCCCTACTTTTTCTGAAGAATTATTACTGGTTACTAAAGATCTTCTGGCAAATTCGATGGATACAACCTGAAGTAATTTGTAGCCTCCTGGTTTCTTTGCCATATTCTTGTTCTGATAATGACACTTTTTTGTTGAAAATATTATCACATTTTCTCCTAGATGTTCCATTCCTGCTGTATCCTATTAGTTCTACTACATTTCATCAAAAGAGTGTTATCTCCTGCAAGAGATATTATTAGTTTTCCTTATGTTACATTTTCCTCAACTGAAAGCTGGAATCAGAATATTATGAATCAGTAACAAAAGTAGAGTATTTTTACTAATTCTTTTCAGAATTCTTTCATGGCTAGCTCTTTGGCAGCACTACTGGTAAGGAAGCTCCTGACCCTACAGTATCTTTTCCTAAGACTTTGGTCACAATTGTGAATCAAATGGGAAAATTGAACTACCTGAAAAGTAACCCAGAAAGGAAATCCATTACAATTTGCAGTCAAATTCTTTGTTTTGTTCTAGACAAAAACACGAATTAAACTTCTATAGATACTTTTAGATACACTGCTACTCGGGTATCAACTGAAAAATGAAATCCTTTTAACTGAGAGAAAAAATTGGGATTACTTACACAATATTACTCCTGAGCGTTTTATTTTACAGAGAACGGTTCGCCGCAATGTTCTGTTGCAGGGATGAAAACATTATGTTTAAATAGTCGCCGCATATTATCGAACGGTGTTAAAAGCCTCGTAGACACAAAAGGGTTGAGGCAAACACGTCTGGTCTCTGCCGCTCTGGGAATTTCACCCGTTTATGCACAGGAAAGAAGAAAGCACGGACCTCCGCTGGGACGGGTTCCTTGAACCCCTGGACACCTCGGGACGCACTTCCCGGAGAGGACCGGGGATGGCGCTTTGCGAACGCGCGCGCGACCGCGTTCTGTGCCGGCTTCACCGTGCCGGCGGGGAAGCGTCTCCGTTCAGCGGAGCCGCTTCCGCGGGCTCGGCGGGCGGCTCTGCGCCTGCAGCACGGTGCCCGGTGCCCGCAGTCTCTCCGGCCCGGCAGCCCCCGCTCCCCGGCGCCGCCGCCATTTCCCGCGGCCGCGGGGTGAGGTGAGGCGAGGTGAGCCGAGGTCAGGGAGGCGCGCGCCCACCGCGCCTGCGCGGCACACGCAGCCCTCCCCCCGCCCCCCTGCGCACGCGTGGCGAGGCTCGCGCGCGGAGCGGGGATCACCTCCCCGGTGCGCCGTTCCTGCGCACGCGCGGCGGCGGCGGCGGTCCCGGGGTGCCGCGGGTTGCAGTGCGCGCCGGCGCACGCGCGGTGGCGCGAGGCGCCGCGGCGGCCGGCGGCGGTGGGGGCTCGGCGGCGCAGGCGCGGTGGTGTCGGGGGGACTCCCGGGCCCGGGTGCTGCTGTGCCGCCGCCGGAGGAGCGGGAGGTTCAGTCAGGCAGTGCCGGCGGGCGGCGGGCGCGGGGCTGCGCGCGGGGAGCGACGCTCGCCCTGGGCAACGCAGGCGGGCAGCGGCAGCGCGGGGCCAGGTGAGCAGCGAGCGCGGCGCGGGGCGGTGCGGGGGGACCCGCCGGGCCCCGGTGTGCGGTGGCGAGGGGAAGGCGGGCACACGGCGCGGAGGGGAGCGGTGGAAGTTTGACAGCGCCGGCGTGTGTCTCCCGCCGCGAACCGGGGGGTGGGAGTGCAGCGGCTGCCCTTGGGCGGGCACGGCCGGGGGCGGGGGGCGCTCGCGGGGCACCCGCTAGGCCCGGTGACCCACTTTGCTCCTGTCACAACTCCCGGGCGCGTCCGGAGCGCTGCCCGCCTGGCTCCGCGCCCGCGAACCGGGCAGGGCGGGCGCAGGACTCCCCGGCATCCCCCGGGCCGGGCCGGGCCGGGCCGCGCCCAGCACAGGAGCGCTCCGGAGCGCGGGTGTTTACACGGCGGCGGGGCGGCGGTCGGTGCTCGGCCCCGAGCCCTCCCCGCGGCAGGACGGCTCTGCGGGGCCTCGCGCTCCGGGCGGTGGCGAGAGCGTGCCCCGCGCTCTCCCCGCGGCAGGTGGGCTGGAGCTGCGGGGTTGCGCCGCAGGCTTGAAGGCTTTTTTTTTACGCCCCCCCGTTTTTGTTTTTTTGTTTTTTTTTTTTTTGGTTCCGATAACTTTGTTGCGATAACTGCAGCGTGTTCACGCTCGTAAAACCTGAGGGATTCTCAGTAGCCCCCGGTCCTTTTTCGGATTACTGCGGCCTTAAAGTCAGTGCGTTAAATACTCCGTGCATGCAGGTGTGAACGCCAGCGAGGGACTGGAAATCCGTGGTACTTCAGTTTTGCGTTTGGGTTAAGGTGGATCAGGATTTTTGGTTGGTTTCACTTTCAAATTCCAGATACTTTAGGCCTCGATATAAATTGGAAATGTTTTTTTTTCCATGAGGAGGCGTGCTTATGAACTAATCAAACATATTTGCCGTGAGATTTTTGTAAGGCCGTTGTTTTCATGTGCCGATAAGAGTTAACCTTCCAAGAGGCACAGGGAAAGTCGGGTATGCTTTTGGCTGGAATATGAAACTGCATGTAGAGGCAGAGTGGCCGATCATAGAGCCTGATGCTCTGAATCCTTCAAGTAGGTATTTTTTCTTAAATGAGTGGTTGACAAACAGTGCTTTTGGTGGCAGTATTGACTTGACCTGGCCTGCCTCTTCCTTGCTTCAGCTGCTCCAGCACAACGGTTTGTGGAATTGTGTCCCGTAACTAGCTTGAGGAAATGATCCAGGTTAAAATTAACTACCATGGTTTTGTGTTTTTGTTTTTTCTTTTTAATGTGGTTATATTTAACCTGTGTAATTTCTATGGCTAACAGGTGTGACAGGAGGCAAGAGGATTGTTTAAGCAAATACCCTAGAGAAAGAAATACTTGACAAATACACCTCGACTGTGGTAGTCCTGGCAAAGTTCAGTATGAACAGTTGCTGTTGTTTTACAGAAATAATATTGACTTTGTTTGTAAATATGTGTGAGGTTTGGGCCTGTTATTTGAAATTGGACAGCATTTGATTGTTGTAATAGAGGGATTCTACTTGAAAGTAGAATTTTTAATAAATTAAATTTTAAAATAAATTTAATAAATTAAGCTATTTTTAATAAATTAAGCTATTAATTTTCATAAATTATATTAAAATATAATTTTATATAAATTTTTAAATAAATTAAGCTATTAATTTTTAATAAATTAAGCTATTAATTTTCATATGTGTCCACTTAAGACAGTTCCTCAAACTCGTTACAGACACTGCTTTCAGATTACCAGACATAATGTATTTGATTTAGGTTCTTTTTGTAGAGTATGACAACTTTGTCTGAGAATTTTGTTGGTAAGGCAAGGGTTACTGCTTCTTAACAAGCAATTCAAACAGGGAAAAACCCCCAAACTTCCGGGTTGATATTTAATAGTTTAAGGTGCCATTCAGCCATGTCTTGTTTTTTATTTCTTCCGCTTCATGTTCTTGCATGGAGAAGTTTTAACACATTTAGGTAAAATAAAAGAATGTGAGGAAAGCAGTGCGTTTTCATTACTAATGCTCTTCTAAGAACCCCCAAACCTCTGCTGTAGGTAACTTTACTCTCTTTGTACTAAGCAATTTAAAAACTGAGTGGTAATTACCTTGAATTTAATTTGCAGGGTTGGTTAATTAGCTTCTTAGTATAGCATTTCACAGAAGTCATGAATCTTTGTGGTTGGATTGGTCTTTCAAAAGAAATTGCTGCTTTTAAGAGCTTTGAGCTTTTGGTTTTTTTCCCCCTCTATTTTAAATTTCTGCAAAAAGTTGAAGATATTAAATAGTAGTAGAGGTATTGCCCCGCACCTTCTCCACATGTTCTTTATATGAGATGTTTTTACCAACTTGGAAAGTTGTGAATTTTTTATTAAAAACAAATAAACTTGTATTGAAAATAGTTGTGAATCAAAAATGCCGTTCACTTCACTAGGTAATTTCCTCATTTGGAAGCAGCTCCTTTTTTATCTGTGCTTTTGTTCAGGAGATGCATGTAATTTGTTGTCAGTGCCTCATGGTTTAGCTCGGTTTTATAGATGAGGACTATGGATAGCTCTCCTCTTTAAGTAGAAAATTAGTATCCTACTACAGTTTTTAATACAAAATATAATTCAGAAGAAGTGGAATTACAGCTGAAAGATGCCTTTTCATCACATTGTCGTGAGTTAGTTTTTCTCGAGGCAAAGGCTTTGGTAGATCTCTGAAGTAAAGAAAAGTTCATTTTAGTGTTTCAGCCTTTTTAAAGTACTAGCTTCTCTATGAACACTGCAAACTGTGAAGGCCAAATGTGAAAGCAGGTGTAGAACTGTTTCTGAGGGTTGGTCGTTAGTAAGTGGTGGCATAGCAAGGTCAGTAGTGATTGTTCCTGCCATTCTTACTTTCTGTTTATTTACTTTGCAAGGTATTTTTAACCTTTCAGTGTTAATGAACTGGTTCATCACTGAAGGGGTGGCACAAGACCAGGAGAATCACCAGGCTGTTTTACAGTAGCTTTATCTGCAGAGGCGAAAAAAAGTGTGAGACTACAGACAGTTGCCAAACCATTCAGCTGTTTCTCTCATCTTAAGCTAATATTGAATTATTGTTGGTAGTGTTGATATTATTATTTTAGTTTGAGTGGTCTTTCGGAATAAAAAGACGTGTTGGAAGCACATCTTCATTCCCGTAGCAGAATCTGAAATGAAAGGTCTCAGTGTCTCTCTGTAACTCTGGTGCAAGCAAATTTGGGTAGCTCTGTTAGGAAGGTACCTCACTGTCTTCTGTAGGTGGTCCATCTGGGAAAGTATCTTACTAGGATAGTTGGTTATTTTGTTAACTCAGGGGGAATCTGTAATAATTTGAAACTCTGACGGACATTGTTTATTTGTTGTAGGACTTAAAAGATGTGACATGAAAATCACAGAAGAGAAAGGAGACTTGGGGTTAATGCAGATGCCCTGAAGGATTGAATTCTCTATCCCTACTGTTGCCACAAAATTCCTTTGTCATGTAAAAGCCACTTTAATTTTGGTATACCTCACTTCTGAGTGTTTTGATTTATAGTCTTAGTGTTCTTTTACCATACTTTTTGTGTGTATTATAAATTCTTTATTTTAGCCACTTGGAGAATATATCATCATATACATAAAACGTTTTGGTCCTCTGTGGTTGTCATGTATTTAATATTATGTGGAAATGACAAGGCTTCACAGATTCTTTTAACAGTTTAGAGCTGCACACTTTGGACTCTTTCCAGCTGTTTCATTTTGTCAATAAAATCAGTGAATAAGTTTCCTTATTCTCTACTGATGTTCTGAGTATATTGTGAAATCATCATTAATAGTATTAATATTTTATTAAATATAGATCCTTAAAAATTAGTTATATATATATATGAGATTCAAGAATGATAATAACTTACGTTTGGAGAGTGATGCTTTTGAAGCTCAATATGTACTATGGGCATTCCTCATATTCATGATTAAAATCTATCCAAATTAGGAATAAATGTGGCTACTTCAATGCTTTGTTCTTAAAACTGTGTGTGTGATCATCTCAGAGTATGTGAGAAGGCTTCAATTGTGAAGCTAATGTCGTTTTACAGATAATGAGAGCCTGGTGCCATGAGATAAATGGTGTTAGACTATTATCCTTTCATTAAAACAAAACACTTCTTGGAGTAAGACATATTCAGGTGAAGTGGATTTTTAAAATAAATATATGTGACATAATTCTTCTATAGAGGTCTTTCTAGAGTTTCACTAAAAAGGATATCTGCAGGTACCTCCGAGATTGTTTTGATGTATGTTATTTTGGTGTATGGCCAGATCCATAAAAAAATATGGAGGAGTCAAAATTGATTTAGATGGGTTTTGTGTGTCCAGCCCCAAATAAAATTTGTATCTGTGTTAGAGGTTTCTAGGTTTTCACTAGTAAAGTTTTCCAAAGTTGAACACTGAAGTTTTGTTCTCATTCACGTCTTCCAAAATCTTATCATAACCAAGCATCTTGGCATCTAAATCTGTTTACTATTCATAAATTAGGCAATCTGTAAATGAGGCCTTCACTTGTTCAAAGGCATGTTCAAACCACACCTCAGGCACACCTATGGAATTGGACTTGGACCAAAACCCTGTGGTGACTCTCCCTTTTGTTCAGAAGCACAAAGGAGTGAGGAGGAAGAGGTTTTGTTCATGTCTCCTGTAAAAAAAAAAAAAAAAGAAATGCCCAAAATAAACAACAAACCAACAAAACTCCAAAGCCTGGAACCTCACTTTTCCTTGCAGACAAGACAATTAAAGTCAATTTAGGCTAAAGAGATACACTAGGCCAGTTGTTTTCTTCGAGGAAAATGAGATTATATATACCTATATTCTGGCCTGTGTTCCATTTAAAATTTTGAATGCCATTACAAACTGATACCCAAGAATTACATCTCTTGTTTGCTGCCTTAGAGAGGCATGCGTACTTCTGGTGCTTCTCTGTAAAGATTTACTTTTTATTTTTGCTTCCATATTCTGAGAATTGCCACTAAAACGAGAAGTTGATGCATCTTCCTAGTGCAATGCAGAGCCTGCTGAGAGATTAGGGTTTGAACCCTATTGGTAGACTGGAGATTGGCTTTCCAGTTTCTGTGATCCAGGTTACTGTGCTGCTGGACAAAATGAGAGCCCATCTTTTCCCCTCTGCCAGCATGTTAAAAGAATATGTTGCTCCTGCTTTGATGGGAAGAGCTTAGCTAGGTGTATGACAAGGACAGGGACCAGGTTTGTGAGTACTAACCTTACCTGTGTCCTAGGCCTCCAGAAACAGGTGAAGGCAAAATACTGTGTTCACTGGTTGCTTATATAGTTTGCATCTCTAATTTTTGAAAAAGTCTTGCTGAATGATGCAACTCTCCCTGGCTTTAGTACTTAAGAATTGTAGATTCTTTTGTATGGAAACCCCTTTTTGTGCCCTGTTTTAGTGAAGACTGTGCTGCTTTGGGGTCTACTACAGCCGGAGCAAGCCATAGAACTTGCTAAGCATGCTGCTTAGTCGTGGTCTTGCTGTGGGACACTTAGAAAAGGAGGAATACCTGGGAATGGGCTGATCATCCAGCACGATGTCAGAATTTTTAAGTATTTTCTGGCAGGGAGTAGTATTGTTAGCAACCTCATCTACAAGAGCTTTTAGCCTGCAGCACCACAAGTTTGTGAGTGCCTCCATGGCTTGCAGAAGAATGATCCCAGATCCCATAAGCATGTCATTATCTGCTGAACTGGTAGATCTCCAGAAAGCTTCAGCACTTTCTTCACTGAGGCAAGTATTTGTGAACATAGAGGCCAAGTGGCTCTTGTGGGAGGTTAATGTGTGAGTTTCCTAATGTACATTAGAAACACTGAGGAAATGTATATTTTTCTATCTTAAATTATGGTCTTAATGAAAGTATGAAATACTGCCTAATAAAAAAGGTACTTCAAAACACATTAATACAGCTAATTTAATATTTCAAATTCTGAGAATCGTGCTGCTGTTATAAATAAAATATAAGTCCCCATTTTTATGTTTGAGTAAAGTTTTTAATGAAGTAGTTAATACTGGTTTCTGGCTTTTAAGGGTGTTTTTGAAGTGTTTGGTGGCTATTTCATTGCATGTTAAATGTAATGTCAGTGACTGCCTGTTGAGTTTTGGCTATTACTGGCATGCACCTTGGCAGAACAATGTTCCAAGAGTTTAGAGGTTGCTGTTGAGAAGATGGTTGTGAATACAGGGAATGTAGACTCCTGCTGGTGTGCTAAGGTAGAAGCTATGTAATTTTTCAGATTACTCTTGCTAGAGATATATTAAATGCTTGGATTTTCACCAGTCATCCAAAAGCCTCAAGATACATTAGGAGAAAAAAACTGTCTTGTTTCATGTGGCAACTTTCCCATGTTAGTTCCCCAAAACTTAATTTGAAACCTACATGTGAAGTTGTAAAAAGAAAAAAATATTTTGCCACAAGCTGCTTATTTCCTTGGCTCAATAAACGACTAGGAAATTTTCCTAGATTAAAAGCTTTAGGGAGTTGCCTTTTTTAAGCCTGATTTCCTAAGAATATGTGATTTATGCTATTTCCTTGTTTTCTCTCATTCTTTCCTTACATATTCACCAGTAGCTTTTGAAATAGCTGATCAGTTGTAGCCATGTTTGTAGGAGGGATGGAAATCACAGACTGTAATGTTACCACAGGTTTTGTGAAAATAGGCAAGCTGGGTAGAGAGAAATGTGTCACTGCCTTCTCTTGAGAGAGACATAATGCAATGGGATTTTGGTACTGACCTGTTTTTTTTTTTCCAGCATGTGCTGGGTCTGTGTTGGATAGGAGACCAGGAGTTGTATGTGTCATCAGGGCTTGAGGAGACAGGAAGAATATTGGGCTGTTTTGGAAAGGGAGGAGGACCAACAATATAGTAGTGTGACATTATAGCAAAATAATAATAAAAATAATATTTTTCTGTCAGCATAAGAACAAAAGACAATATTTCCCAAATCAGATTTCCAGTAAGCCCGCTCCTCTGTCTTGTAACACAGAGTTACTTGTTTAAAAGCGGGGACTGAATTTTTGTCTAGAATGGCATTTCTTGACTTCTTTCCTGTCTGGCCTGTATTTGCATTACTTATTTATCATAATAAACAGCACACTGAAATCAACTTGAAGATTTTTATGAAGTCTCAGTAGAGAAATGTAGGATGTTCTGCTTGTTGGTTTAGAAAAACTGAAAATCTTAGTAATGGTGAAAGTGAAGAAAACTTTATTAGCTTGTGCTGCTTTCATTTCTAGAGAATTCTCTGCTGTATAATATGAAATATACTTGTCAAGACTCATCATCTTCACAAATTTTAGTTTATTGATTTCAAGTATTAAAATGGTTCATTTAAAAAAAATCATAGCAGACCACAAAATAGGTGTTTTTGACTTGTGCTTATTTTAAAGTAGTTTTCATAGTAACAACAAATACTCTAAAGGAAACAGGGTTTTCCTCTACTGTGAGTAGAAAAGCAAGTAGCAGCATGAATCACAGCTTCCAAGAACTGTCAGAATAGAAATGCAGATTCTCTCTCTCTCTTTCACACACATACACACACACACACACACACACACTTTCTGATCAGTTTTAATGTAGTAATGTGATTTAATAAGGTTTTCTTGCCATCCACAGCAGCAACATCCATTATGTGTAATCAAGCTACTGCTAGCAGTTGTGTATTTGAGAACTACTGTTCAGAGCTAGTATGGTAGTTCCACTGATAGTTCTCTTATGTCTCAGAAATTTTACATATAATACATTTTTCTGGAAGTGTTTTTGTTGTTAAAATGTTCTACTTCATTTTTTAATATAGTCTTTTTTTTCTAGCTCAGAAGCATTAGCTAAACATTTTGTGCTGCCCTAAAGCTTTTCATGATGTTTCGTAGATAATAAGATAGAGTTTCAGCCTTGAGAATCTTGTGATCTGAATTTCACTGACATAGAAAATGATGACAATGACCTCAGAAAGGGGGACAAGGATTCAAGTTAATAAGCGAGTCATAGTGAGTGAATTAAACAAATTCTCATTTCTAAGAAGATGATAAGATAGATCAGCAACAAGTAATATGAGAAAATAGAAGCAAAAGACAGCATAAAGCAAGTCCAAATAATATACAGATTTGGAGGAAAAGGAGCAAAATATTTTTCAGGATCTGGAAAGCATAATGAAATCAGAAAAGTAGTCTGGATCGAGAGAAAGAGTAACTAGAAGGTTTTATGAAATAGAGCAGGTAAAAGATCTATAGAAACTTACAAATTATGTTGATGGGTTTAGCTCTTCTGAAGAAAAAAAAAATGAGACAGGAAAATGATTTGAGAATATGAGAAACTGTTTTGATCAGTTTGGCAGGGAGGTTAGGACACAAATTCTGAGTTTTTTTGTAACCCTTCAAGAAATTTAGCTGTCACTCGGACTTGCTTTTAAAGTGAGTGGCAAAACAACAGGCATCTGTGCCTGAAAATTTCATCTCAGGCATTCCTGTTGATCTGTTGCTACCTTCTATTACACACAACTTTTCTACAAGCTGGAGGACTTCATATGAATTTCATTACAATTGAGAGAGGGACTCAGTAGAAGTTTTTAGCAACAATGGTGATTGACACACTACCATTTTATCTAAGTCAAAAGTATCACAAACCTTTTCCACTAAAATAACGGAAATTGCTTTTCCAAATTATTTTGGTTAAATTTGTACTGCCTTTATATAGACAATTGCATTTATGGCCGATTTAGATGGAGTTACATAAACTGGCATAGATTTTTTAAAAATGCACCTAAGCTTCCTGCCCTGTAGAATATATTTTGCCACTTCTTATCTGTGTGCTGGTATTTGATTCAAATAATTGATTTCTAATATTTCATATTTCATTTGACCGTTTAGAAAAATAGATATGTAGGTGATAATGGTCTGCATTTCTTATCCCATTAGACTTGGCAGTAGATCTTCCTCAAACATTGGCATTCTTCTTCTCCAGGCTGACAGCTTCTTCTTTCTATGTTGTATGTACTGGGGGACGAGGTGATAAAGAACAGGGGTTTAGAAGTTACTTTGTTTTGGGTATTTCATGTCAAAGGAAATCCGTCAATCCTTGCATACAATGGAAGGGAATAGATTTATGTTTGCCTTAAAGGATATGCTTTGCCACATGGGAGTGCTGAATAGAAAATATCAGCAGTGGGTCAGTAGCAGTAGATTTTTCCAGCAGGATTATCATCAGTTAGATGATATTACCAACTTGGTGCATGTGTATTTAAAATACAGCATGGGGTATAGGAATACAGAATTAATGATCTGTAGCAGGTGGTGAGCTCTTTCTTCGTTTAATAAGTAGAGCGCTTGTGTGTAAAAATTTCTATTGCAGAGTTAGCTTTTGCTCAGCACATCTTAATGAAATTGGTGTCTTATTAGTGGAGGGAGTCTTGTGCTGTTGCATGCCATGTTCCCTAAGAAATTCCAGTTGTGTGCTGCGGTAGTTCATGTGTCCTGTTTGAACCGTAGTACACACAGTTAAGATTTTATTGATGCAGTTTCTTTCCAGAAGTTTGCATAGTGTATTATTAATGTTCTGCAATGTCATAATACAATCCAAAGCAATTGTAATGCAGTAGTTGTAATATTACTGTTTTGTAGATGTTGTTAGGTCTGTAAATTTGGTGTTACCATTGGGCTGTTGCATTTGTCTCACGGGTTTGGATTTCAGACAGTGCCAGAGCTACATAAAAAGTGGTGTGCAATGTTGAAGTTGTCCTTCATGAGAATTTATGTCATTCTATTGAATAGAAAAATTAGAAAGTGAATTTTTTGACAATATAAGGATGCATATGAAATTACTGAAATGGCAGGAGAGAAAACAGGAATAATCAAGGGCTCATCCCCAAAAGGTTTTTTTGAACAGATTAATTTTCATTAAACTGTGAGTTTTTTTGTTGTTTTTCAGAAGACCGTGCCAAAGAAGACTTTTACTCAGATGACATCACATTTGGACTACTAATGCTACCCACCCACTCTACAAGGCACAATGTATTTCTAGGTAATTTAAGTAAGTATGTAGATATTATGGCTACTAGAACAGTAATGCTTTAAGCAGAAACAGCTCTTTTTCAACCTCAGGCAAGGTAGACATTCCACTTCAATTTGAGATTCAAATTAATGATGTGTGTGGGCAAGAATAAACTTCAAATACACTTTTTATAAGCTTTTATCCTGTACACTGGAGCATGGAATGAATCAACTGAACTGTACCTGAGCTGCCTTAGGAACTAGAAGGAAGGAAAAGCCCAGACCTTATGAAGGCCTGTCCTCATCAGTGCAGCGTGCTAATGTGGCCCTGTGGTTTCTGGAGACTAAATTAATATCTCTCCCAGGGATGTGTTGCAGTGAATGAGCATATGTACTGCCATGCTCACTGGTTTTCTGAGTGTTTTTTTGTTTGGTTGGTTTTTTTGTGTGGTGTGGGTTTTTTTGTTTGTTTGTTTTTTTCTGGTTTTTGGTGGTTTTTTTGTTTTGTTTTGGATTTTTTTTTGCAGATGCTCTTGTTGAGGTGACTTAATACCCCATTCATGTAAAGATATAGCAGAAGAATGCCATCTTAATGGGTTCAAGTACCACTATCTCTGTTCAGATGTCACCTTGTTTATGAAAGGGTTGCTTCTCCCAGCTTCCTTGATTGTACACTGTACTGTCCAGCTGAGGATGGGCCAGGAGGTGCAGATTTTCCTCTTTGCGCTATTTGTCCATGTTGTATGTTGCAGTAAGGTTGCTGATTGCTTTGTGCATCACACAGAGAGAAGCACAGAACAGCAAGGTAGTTTGTTTATGAGCAACAAAGGGATTTTGATTCAGTGTATCGTGAGGATCATGGCCATGGCCCTCTGTAGACTTTGTAGGTGTTTTTATGTTTTATCTTTTTAAGTAGGTGTTATTTTTCAGATGTTCTGTTGTTTTTTTGACTGGGTCAAAACATACACTTTTATACTGGGTCTGTTGTTTTTTTGACTGGGTCAACATACACTTTTATACTGGGTCAAAAAAATCCCAAGAAATTGATCTATTGATGTAGAACAGACATTGTGCCAATCTTGCTGAAATGGGATTATTTTGTCTTGCTGGCAGAAAGCCTTCCTGTATTCCTAGTGGCTTGTAATGCATCGGAGGTGCCTGGTCATACCTGAAGTATGGTCCTGAATGGAATTACAGGTAGCAGTGGTTGTAGTTAATGATGCTTGACACTTTCTGTTCCAGAGCCTTGGTTTTAGTTGCTTATAATTTACTAAGACTTAAATCTCTGTTATATGTCTCCTTCACCTAAAATTCGACCAAATATCAGCTTGTGTCTGAGGATGAGTTTAGAGGGAAGAACGTACTGTTTTCTTGATGCAAAATGCAATGAAAATCTTGCCACTGGAAAAATAAAGCACCTGCATATGCTGGAGCAAGCACTCAAGGTTTTAGGAGAAACAAATTGTTATGCTTCAGTATTTTTTTTCTGCTATCCCACTTACATTAGGCAGCATGATAGATTTCTGAAAATATGTTTTGTACCAGTTCAGTGAATTTCCTAAATCCATTTCATCTGTCCAAATCAGATGAGGTAGATACGTTCCAAATCCTTTTAGTCATAAGTAGACGGGGCTACTGAGCATGTTCTAGCTGGACTCTGAGAAGTAAACAGGTCTAATCTCCTTGACTCCATTGTAGTGTCAGGTACGAACACTGAGTAAGAAGATTTTCTTCTGTACTCTTTGTGCTTTTCCTTAACTTTATCATGCATTTACTGTTGATTTGGTCCTTCACATTCTGCTTCAGCAGAATATTTCCATAACTGTTGTCAACTTTATTCATTCAGTTTTTCTCTAGTCTTTGCTTTTTCTATTTATTGCTTTTATGTGAACATTCTCTAATGTTCACAAGATCATTATTTTATCATAATGATCTTTTTGGACAGTACAGGCTGTGTGTGGTTAAAAGTTATTAAATACTTCTTTTTGAGCATCCTGAAAACCTCTGTGCATTGTGCATCTTTGATACTGGTTTTCAAGTAAGATTTTTAAAACATGAAGACCATATTTTTTCTGAAATGGAAAGGCAATATAATATACTTAAAATTTTCAGATTATGTACATGTAAAAATTTGTGTAGTGTTGTCTTTCTTAAAAGACAGTTTTTCTTTAGGAATTGCTCTAAAGAGATCAGTTTTTTTTTTTTTGTTTGCATCTAAATTTAGCAAATGTAGAGAGAAGCCCACTCTTTCATTTGCAAAATCTTTTGGAAATCTATTTGGATCTTGTATACTGAACGTCAGTGAAACTTGGTGAGTCGGAATAGTTTAGTTATTCTAAGCAACTAATGAATTAATTGTATGTGGAAAAAAAAGGTTAAAAATTCTATTTGTAATTTGCAGTTCTTGGAGAAACTGGCATATAACCTAAAATCTAGAGGATTAAATTATTATGTAAATTACATAATAATTGAAATATAGAAAATAAAGAAAATAAAGGGCAGAAATTAAGCAATATATTTCTGGCTTTACATCTAAGGTAAAAAGCTGTGTATACACCAAATGTATTTTAACTAGTGTTTCTGTAATGAAGTTCTTGCATTCCTTAGATCCCTTGATTAGTTTCCCTTAGTATTTCTTTGTTCCTGTGGCTGTTCTCTGAGATAATGTTTAGAATCAGGCTAATTTCAGTCTTACAGTAAACTAATATTCCTTTGTCATTAATCTATTTTTTCTCAATTCCCATAGTTGATTAGCACAGAATTTAGAGATCAATTTGAGTAATTGCAGTAAACCCATGATCATCTTTACCCCTTTTAAATTTTGAGTTAGGGGAAGTTAAATCACAGTAGTAGTGCTTACAAACCTCTCAGACTATACTATCTGAATTTCCAGGGTAAAAACAAGACTGACACCTCTGTCTAAAAGTCCAGAAATGCAGGAATATTTATTTTTCCTTTACTGTATTTAATAGCACAGGTAATAGGAGGAAATGAATAAATAAATGAGAGAGGGGCTGAAAGAAATAAGGTAGAAAGAAGAGAAGTAAAATATTTGATGTGAGAAAACAGGACATAAAAGATGAAGTAAATAAGCGAAGAAAAGAGAAATGAAGCCTAAGGAATAGGGATATCTAGATTTGTGTCTTCTGCTGAATTCTGGCTCAGAGGAAATAAATCTTTTGTGGAACCCAGTAAATGGTCTTTTATAATGATTCTGGTTTTCACTTGTGAGGCATTATGAAGAAGGTTTACAGAATTTTTTTGAAGTCTTTCAGTGCCATCAAGTATTCTGTTTATGACATGACATCTCTTTTGATTGGTCTGGTTTGAAAAGGTAGGGTATAACTCCAATGTATGCATTACAATGGTGATTTGGATGATTAAAACTCACTGTTGAGAAAATCTCACTGTTGTCTCCCCTTACCACTTGTTTGGCTCAGTGTGTTTGAACTACATTTCTTTCTCAGAAAACTAGTCTGTGAGTTCTGCTGCAGGGGCAGAGTGCTGTTCTGTCTCTACTGGGGACATGGAGTTCTGCATCAGTCATGAAATTCCTGGAAAAATTTGAATGGTCCATGTGGTAGTGATGTTTGCTTCTGGAGACCAGATGAAATCTAATCCAAAATAAACCCTCTTGAACAGCTAGCATAGGAGTGTCAGCACCAGCTGCTTTGATCTACTGATCCATTTCTACGGTTTCAGATTACTTTCTAATGGGGACCGAGCCATAGTTGTTCACTTTGGTTATAGGTCAGTAGACGAGGGCAGTGAACCTCTAAGATATGTATCTATGCTGCAAGTACAGCTGTGAGTTTGGTTGCTGATTTTGAAAAATTTTGAAGTGCCAGAAGTGCTTTTTTTTTCAATTTTTGTAATAGAAACTGTGTTGATGAGGCACATAAATACTGTAAATGACAGTGGTTCAAACGACTAAATCGTAACTGCCTTTTGTAATTCTGATGGATTAATTTGTGGTTTTTCCATGCTTGTATTTTGAAATTGTTGAACAGAGGAGTCTTCTGATTTCTTTAATTTTATAACTTTTGTATAGGATTTGAAAATATGTATGCTTCTCACCCCAGGTATTTTGCTTGAGCTGCTCATCTACATTGACAAAACCCCAAGGCCAGTGTTTTATGGCAGTCATTAAGTAAGAGGAACAGAAGAAATGAAAGAGATGGTCTTTGCAGATTTTTTCAGTTATTACTCTTTTTCGTGCCTTAGCTGTCGTGAATCATGAGACTTTTTTTTTTTTTTTCTTTTTTTTTTTTTTGGCCTGGAATGAATTCCTCAGTTGTTAAAGTGTTTAAAATCTGAGTAATATTTAGGTGCTGGTGTTAAATCATTTTATCTTGAAATAGCAGTTGACAGAGTACTCTCCATCTGCCTTGTTTAATTTTAAGTTCAGAGTTTCCCAAGAATTTTGCATGCTTAACTGTAGTATAATATCTCACATATCTAAGCAAGTAATTAGGACTAAATTCAGCTATATTTCTTGTTTATTAGATCTTTGCAGAATCTTGACCTTGGTTTTCAGCATTTTTTCCAGAAAATTTCCAACATTCAAATTAAGATGTCTGTTGATAGGGATTATAGTTTTAAACCTACAGTCTTTTAAAAATGTAGTCATTAAAATCCACCCAAAACTATTAAGCGTGTAATAGCTTAAGAAGCAGCAGCATTTTGAAACTTTGAAAAAAATCACCGGCTTTAATAAAAATAATAAAGTTATTTTCAGTATTATTTAATTTGTTCAAAATTGAGAAATAAGCCTCAATTTAAAATGAAGAAAAATGTTGAGAGTCAAAATCTGAGTTGTAAGCCGGTAAGTTCTGAGGACTCCTCATTAAGTGATCTTGCCTTAAGATCACTGTTTCTTTTACTGTTAGAGTGAAGTGCTCTGTTTGTAGTTTTTTTAATGTGTTTGGTATAAGTAAACTGTGTCAAGCTTTAATGTGTGCTTAAATACGATACTGTTTTCATTACCCTGTTAGCATATGGCCTGAACTTAAAATGTTAGTTTCAGGATTTCCTGTGAAT